TATAAGAGGTTAAACGTAAAAATATGGGAAATACAAAAGTATGGGCGCGAAACCCTTGGGGCAAGTATAAAATGTTCAAGGGTTAAGGGGACAACTAAAAAAAGAATGTTCTTCTTAAAGGACAACTGAAAAAACTTAAAAATCGTCCAAAGGACAACTATGACAATTTTGGGACAACCGGACAACTAGGTACAACTATGATGTCAACAGAAAATGCACGTGTGAGAATGGCGGCTGAGGATAATATTATAAGTTATTTTCCTCTGTATTTGTCTTTTTTGGTTGTCGTTTACCGTTTTCTCTTTCATAGAAAAGGGTCAAAGGGTTCTTCTCCTCTTATTCTCTTTCCTAATTGTTGCCCCCAAATAGGTTTTTTAGGGTTTCCACCGCATAATGGATAAATATCAGATAGCCCTCGCGAAATTGGCTGAAAAGAAGAATGATGGCTCTTCTTCTGTCTTGCCTAAGAAGGATTACGGGATGACCACTAGATGGGGATCCGAAGTCAATGGAGTCAAGACCATTCTGCCATGCCCTGTACAAAAGGGAATTCCAAAGGTTTGTTATTGCGGCTTAGCTCCAATTGGGTGTTTAACTGACAACTCCGGGCTTGACAGGGGCCGGAAATATTACGGTTGCTTCTACGGCTGTTGTGGCCCAAAAAATTTCCCAGAAGTAAGTCAATTGGGTTTTCAATTTTGATTTATAATTTGAGTCTCATCTGAATTTCTGAGTTTCGGGATTTCAGGTTCCCAGTTGTGGCTTCAAGAAATGGTGGGATCTCGCAATACTCGAAGAAATTGAAATGTTGAATGATACTCAAGAAGCCATGCGGGCTTTGTTTGACACCGTTTTCTCCAAGTTAAATCAGTTAGAGTCAAAGGTGGCATCCATTGAAGAAGCTATAAAAAAGCGTTAAGGATGAAGAAGATGAGCTTTTCAGTTTCTTATTGACCTTTTTTCCCCTTGTTATGTTGCTACTCTCCTTTGATTTATTTTGAACTATTTCTCTTAAATAAAACAACGCAGTTGTACCAGTTGTCCTAATATATCGCATTAAGTTATACGAGTTGTCCTAAATAAAACAAGGAAGTTGTACGAGTTGTCCTAAATAAAACAAGGAAATTGTACCAGTTGTCCTAAACCCTAAACAGAAAACATAAGATTGTACCACAAAGAAAAACACATAATCTTAAACATAAACAAGACATTTTACTTCTTGGCTTCATGTGGTTGGGCTCCTTGAACATGTGAAAAACCCTGGCTGTACTCGGTTGGACCGAAGTAAAGCTTCTCAGACACCATCAGTTGACTACCATCATCGGCATCCTGAGATAAAAACAAGAAACACAATCATATGAGATTTAGTTGTCCCAGTTATCCCAGTTGTCCCAGTTGTCCAAATGCCAAACGTAATTTTGTGCAAATAGTTGTCCTAGTTGTCCCAGTTGTCCGTACCGGCTGGTTCTGCTTCCTTCAATGGTTCTTCTTCACCCCGAATTTCTTCATGGGTTGTTTCTTCATCATTCGCCACAGAGTTTGGTGTTATTCCGGGTTCTTTATCTTTCATATCTGCTTCTTCGCTGCGCTTGGGTACAGATTCATTCGAATCATATACCACGCCCTTAAGTCGAATTTTAGCTATCTAGTTAGGCTGGATTTAGGGTTTGTCTTGATGAAGTTAGAAGGCTAAATTATGTAATATATAGTACGGGAATTGAAGAAAGGGAAGCTGAAGAAGAAGCAGTTACAAAATCAAGTGTCGTTTCAATTTAAAGGGGAAATTGCAGAATTTTCGAAAGAAAGAAGGAAGTGGAGATAGCCGTTCGGGGAAGATGAAGAGAGAAAGAGGAGATCGTATTTGATTTTTGGTAAGTTTATCGAATGTGTTTGGTTTTGGAAATTAAATCCATTCGGTTCGGTTTTGTTTACCTAATTTTCGGTTTAATAATTTCAATTTTTTATTTCTGATTTCAAATTGATAAAGTTTTTTTTTTTACAGAAATTCCATTTTTTCTGGGTATTCGAGTCGAACATAAATCGGGTGGATTTTACCTTGGTATTTTTGTAATAAAAGAAACATATAGGGAGAAGGGTATAATTTACCTGGTTTTTGTTAATAAAATTAATTCATAAAGAAGTTAATTTTTAAAGATATGGTTTATCAGCCAACTTTTTGGTTTCTTATGGCTTTTCAGCCGCGCGTTCATCGGTAGGGAAAGACATCTAAAGTGTCTGACATGTGTTCATGTCCACAGAAATCTGAGAGTTATATTTCTATCATAGATTCGATTAATATCGATAGATAGAAAGAGGAAGAGGTTATCCTAAAGTATTTCTATCATAGATTCGATTTGTATTCGTGAAACAAATAACGACGATGCTCTCCGATCTTCCAAAGGAGATGGCAGAGGAGGTGCTCTCTAGGCTTCCGGTGACATCTCTGAGAGGAGTGCGATCGACCTGCAAAAAGTGGAACACTTTATCCAAAAGTCGCACCTGTACAATGCTTTACATCCGTGAAGCAAAGAAAAAGCAGAGGAAGGAGTTTCAAGTGGCAGTGATTCTCGATTGTAGGCTTTCTTTATTCAGCGTCAATCTCCTTAATCCATCTATAGATCTTATAGGTAAACTCATTAGCCTAGACGATGAAGATCGTGTTGACATGTATAAAATCTTTCACTGCAATGGTTTATTGTTATGCCAGACCAAAGACAGATCTAGGCTTGTTGTTTGGAACCCTTATTCTGCGCAAACAAGGTGATCGAACCCAGAACTTCTTTCCACTTGTTGGACAGGTATGCTCTTGGATACGAGAGGAATTATCAGTAATCGCTTCGTAGCCACAAAGTCTTGAGATTTGTGGATGAGCACGACCCGAGTATTTGTGAGTTTGAAATATACAGTTTTAGGTCTAATTCATGGAAGGTTCTTCATGTCAATCTGGACTGGGATATAGGATTTTTCTGACATGGCTTGTCTCTCGGTGGCAACACTTACTGGATTGCCCAAGATAAGAAACATGGAACCCATGGCCCTTTTTTCGTACTCTGTTTTGATTTCACAACGGAGAAATTTGGACAGCGCCTGCCTCTGCCTTTTCAGCCTTTCCGTCTAGATACTGTGGCTCTATCAAGTGTTAGGGGAAAACAGATTGCAGTGTTATGGCAGAAAAGAAGTTGTTCATATCCCTTGAAGATATGGATTAGCAGCAGGATAGAGCCCAATGTTGTGTCGCGGAACAAGGTGTTGCTAAGGGTTGATATGAAACCTTTGACCGGTTTTCCCTTCTTATTCTCCGCTGGAAGTTTCTTCGTTGATGAAAAGAAGAAGGTGGCGCTGGTTCTTGATAAAGAAGGAGATGGTGGAGGTACATCTGATTTTCGTACCTCCACTCGCAACATAGCTTACATCATTGGAAATAACGGCTACTTCAAGACAGTGGATCTTGGCGAATCTAGAAAATAACTTGTTGGCCACTTGGGTGCTCTTATGTTCCGAGCTCAGTGCAAATCAAGCAAGCTGCTCCACGAGCCAACCATAAAATAGCCTAATCTATTGTCGTTTAAAGTTTATAAGATTGTTTATTTTTTCATCTTTGATTTATTATTTTGTATCCCAGACAACATGGCCTTTGTTTCTTTTGCTTTGTGCATCCTGTTATATTATATATCCAACGCATTGCGTTTCAGAATACTCTGTGTGATCTTGTTTGGCTCTTCCAACGACACATCAGCCAAGTGCATTTTGGTTCTGCCTTTGTCTTGTAGGGTTTTCTTCTGTCTCGTAGGAGTTTTTTTTTTTTTTTTAATGTGATTTTGCATTGAACCTTTGAAGTTGGAGCTATAGTTTTTGTTTATACTTGGTGACAGAATCTATATCATAGTTTTAGCTGTGATCAGTTTGTATGTATGCTACTATGTAAGTTCCTCGTCTGTTTCCTATCTTGCCTTCAGCTTATATAATCTTTGAGGACTTAGAGTTACCACCGGAGCTCGACACACCCAAGAGCTCTGCAAATATACGCTCATCAGTTTTCGTGATGCCAACTCTGGGCATGCCTGTGAATCAAATCTGGAGCCAGAAGTCATCTCTTCCTGCTGAGCAGGCTGCAGCGGGTAGCTTTGACACTGCAATGCGTTTGCTTCACAGACAGCTTGGGATAAAGAACTTTGTTCCGTTGAGATCGATGTTCCTTGATCTGTTTACCGGAAGCCATAGCTATCTTCTGTGGTGTCACTTGCCATTGAGCGTGGGTGGAACGAATCTGCTAGCCCCAACGTCCGTGGCCCACCAGCTCTTGTTTATGATTTCTCTCAGCTTGAAGAGAAGTCTGAGTGGAATATTCCCGCAGATGTAGAAGCAAAAAGTATGTTACCTCCGAAGAAGAAGAACAAAAGGGGAAGACGTCAAGTAAGAAGGGTTCCATCAACAGGAAAACCTCAACCAAAGAAGAAGGCGGGTGAGCGTACTACTGGTGGTGAAGTAGCTATTGCTGAGCGTACTACTGGTGCTGAAGTAGCTATTGTTGAGCTTGAGAACCCAAGTGGTGGCGGTCGTGAAGTAGGTGGCCCAAGTGGTGTTGGTGGTGGCGAGTGAGCGTACTACTGGTATTTGTGGTTGTAAAACTAAATACTACTGGTATTTGTGGTTGTAAAACTAAGTACAACTGAGTACTAATGGTTATTGTGTTTGTACTACTAAATACTACTGGTTATTGTGATTGTACAACTAAGGCTATTGTTTTTCAAATGGGATTCATTTGAATTGTGTTATGGTTATTGTAGTGTATTTGGTGTGATTAACAATAGAAAGCTAAAACTTTTTTTTTTTTTTAAAAAAGGAAATATTCTAAGTGAAACTTAAAACCCAAAAAATAGCTTAAAACCCAAAAAATAAAGAAAAGATCATACGTTAATAAAAGATAAGTAGAGAATAGAGATGCTCTGCATCAATAACTAAGAGACTCTCTTCTTGGTTTTGGTTAAGTCTTCTCTTGGTTAGCTCCACAAAGCAGAACAATCGGTGGACTTGAAAGAAACAAGCTGTGAAGAAGTATCATAACCAACCAACCAATTGTTCTGTGCTCTGTTCCCAAATATTGCTTGTTGTGTCGGATCATTACACACAATCGCCAGACAATAAACACCTCCATTACCCATAAACATGTTGTACTTATCCATCTTAAGATCAGCACCTCCGGAGAAATGCATCGTCATCACCGGAAAAACTTCAATGTCGTCGGTCTTGTAGCAAAGCATCCCACCCGAGAAAGGTGCTCGTTCCACGTTCAAGAGGGCTTTATCAACAGAATCCTTCACTAGGTTGCAGTAGGTATTTGGCAAGTACGTGTACGTGGTTCCAGAGTCAATGACTATGTTCCCTTCCAAGGAGTGAAAACTTGTCCCCAACGTCTCAACTCTGTTCTCTCCAACGCTGATTGCGTCTAGGTTTAGGTAATAGTATTGAGGTTGCTCCTTGTTACTAAACATATTGGTTGCTACAGTTCCATCTCCTGCCACAATAGCATTACCTCCAAAGTTGATCTTGCTAGTTCCTTTACCGGAAAAGCAATAAGAGAAAAGACCTAGAAAGTTTTCACCCATCTGAGAGATGAGCGATGAAGGTCCCCAGTCTAGACCAACAATCCCCGAAGCGGTTGTGTGAAACCCTGAGCTGTTATGAGCACATCCAATGGTGGTTTCATTCATCACAAAGGGTTGGCCTGAAGTGGAAAGCAACGTGACCGTCTCTTTCGCGTAGTTTCCTTGGGAATAGCCTCCGCCTCCATAGTTCATCTCGTAAGGACAAGCGTGTCCGTGTTTCCCGCATCTTTTCTCTTTGTATGTTGAGGATTTGGAAGGGTCAAATATGGGACCTTGTTGGTTGTAGCAGTTAAGACAAGGCATACATTGTGTCCATATGAGTTCACTTCCCGTTTCTAAGACAGCTTCGATCTCCACAGGAGGAGTTCCCATTTGTAGTTTGATAAGATACGCGTTGGTGTCAAAGACTGTATCAGCGTAAGGAGATCCTCCATCGAGCTCGTTAGTGTTAGAGTGTCGAGAAGAAAAGGACTTAGAGCGACGTTGGATCAAGTCGATGGTGAAGCCACGAGGTGATGATGTGGCAGTGGTGGTGATTAAGAGAAGAGATGTAATGAGTTGAATAAAGAGAGCCATGGTCATTGTGGCTACAAGAGACATGGTGATCGAAAAGGAACTTTTGGTATTGAGACACAATGCTATACGTCTTCATTCATGCACGTATATATCATTTTGGACGTCTTATAGTAATTGTTAATGGTCCTGATTTGTCAACTTCGTCCAATACTGTTATATTTCCATTACGGTCTTGTTACTTGGGAGATTTTACATTGCGTTACTACTTTTGTCTTCGTCCAATATATTGTTATATTTCCATTACGGTCTTGTAGTGTTTGCGTAAATTGGAAATTACATCACTTTGTTACGGTTTTTGTCGCAATTGCTAATTTTCTTGATTTTTCAACTTCGTCCACTTTTTGGTATTTCCATAAGGGATCCATTACGGTCTTTGTATAACTTCCATTGCGGTCTGGTAACTTTGAAAATTTACATTTTGTTACTATGTAATTCTTATTTTTTTTTAATTTTTTTTTTTTGACAACACTATATAATTCTTATTTTTGTTGTCGAGTTTTCTTTTTTTTTTTGTTTATCTTGTGAAAATGGAAAATTAGGTAACCTTGTTATAGCGAAATGTAAATCTTCTCCGAATTTATAATTTTCAACTTCTTAAAGTACATTGATAGTGATAGCTTTAATTTTTTTTAACCATTACTATGCCGTTTTAAAGAAACAAAAGCATACATATCATACTCATGTTTTTTTTTTACAACATAGCATACACACATTCAATAGAAAACATTTCTCAGTCAAATCAAAAGGCAGTCGAAGCCAAAACGCACTTAACGGGAGGAGCCGAGCTGCAATGGGCAGAATAACAGTCTCTCCCTCTCCCTCTCCCTCTCCCTCTCCCTCTCCCTCTCCCTCTCTGCTTCAATGAACTCCTTCATCGTTGCTTGAGACTCCGAAGCAGCGAGTTGGAACCAACAAGAAACCGAGGCCGGTTCTTGTATCATATAATTACATTTCGGATATAACATACTAACCACGCAATGGTCTCAGATATACAAACCTGGAAGAAATGAGAAGTCGATATGAAGAACTAAGAAAAGATGAAGCTCTTTGAAACCCACAAACAAAAGCAATTGACATCAAGAGTGTGAAACCTTTCTAATTCAATGCAAATCGTCTCAAGAATCGAATGTTTTAATAAAGCCTGCTAGAAAACATTTAAGCTAAATGTATCCAAAGTCATGTACACAAATAACCACTTCAAATTAAGTTAGGACAATTTTAATCGTCTGGTCGTAGAAGTACTTCAAACTTCAAATTTAAAGAAGACACAAATTTGCAGAGACACAACTCAATGAACTACTGATATCCATTAGCAACTGCTTGCCTAATCATTAAAATCGAAAAAAATAAAAATGAATAGTGATATTATACTTCACAAATATGACTAAATTGCATTGGACTATTGGCTAATTAAGATGTTGCAGAGAAGTAGTGGTAAGCCACAACACAAACAAAGAGCAATCCTTTAGAGCTTAGAATAGATGTATCCAGATTCAAAACTAAGTTCTCTGAAATGGATAAATAATGTAACAACCCGATCTTCGGTTCCTCAAATATCGGTTTATTTCTGATTTTTAATTCTGGTCTATTTTAATTTTTGGTTATTTCTTATTAGACTTTTATATTTGTTTTCATTCCAAAACTCATCAGCCCAATTAAATAAAACCCTAACTATAAATACTCTTTTTCTAATCTCTTTCTGGTTTTTCCTAGCAAAGACAAAGTCCTAGCCTCTCTCTTTTTCCTCTCTTCCTCCTCACCTTCTTTTTCCCTATCTACTGCTTCCTTGCGTGACGTTTTTCCGGTGAGTCATGAAAAGCCACGTGAAAATCTACATATCAATATGAAGCCCCAAGTCTCAGCTTTCCGAAATGAACAAATTTGTTCAGATCAGAGATTGATGCCAGGAGTATGGCCATTTTCTGTCGGGTGTCGAATTTGGCCAAAGAAGAGAAAAAATATGTATTTACTTTCAGAAAGGCAAAAGTGAGGACTTATTGCTCTCACCCTCTCTTTCAAATACATGTTTTAATTTGTAGTTAATCTTTTCTTAATCCAAAGCTTAGATCTGATTGCTAGGATGTGGTAAATGAATGTTAGGATTTGCCATTGATTGATGATTGATGGTTGCTTGGGAGAAAAGTATAGAATATGAATTTAAGAACTATGGAACCCTAAAATATGGAACTTTGTTTGATGACCTGTTTAAATATCTCTTTGTTATAATTTGTTATAGAATTTCCATTTTAGATAATACAAAAATGATTAATATTGAAAGTAGTATAGAAAGGATTATTTGTGCAATTGTGACTTTCTAACTTAATGTCTATACCCTTCTTTCAACAACAACAACAAATTGTCTTTGTCTTTTCTTAGGGGTTTGGGGATTTTCACAAACTTAGAAAGTGGTGGAATGATGTTGATCTCTTTGATCAATCATATCGTCTCAGACCAATATGTCTTAGGTAAGTGTTTAATAGTGTTTTACTTAAGCATTTTTGTGGAGAATTTCATTGTATGTACAGTGGCGGACCTAGGATTAAAATTTGAGGGGTGCAAAAAAAAAAAAAATTGTTGTCTCAAGCTTTGATCTTAGGAAAGGGGTGTCAAACAGATGTTTTATATACCAAATGAGCCACAGAATCTTTAATTTCTCTTAACAAAATTAACAATTTATAAATTTAACCTGTGTCATATGACTCATTATAGTTCAACGTGGGTCCGCCTCTGTGTATGTATTTTGTTTTAGGGAACACTATAGTTTGGTGATTGTGTGTGCATACTAGACGAAGTCGATGGTAAAGGGGCACAAATACTTAACATAATTCACTTGGATTCTCGATGTGGTCTTCTTCATGAAAGTGATTTGATTTTTCAAGAGATCAGAAGCTTACTAATAGAGGAGTGAAGTTGTCATCAACCCAGATGATCACATACAAAGGACCCAAGAAGCATCAGAGTAGACAAAGGTCAAGTGGAGATTTCTCATTGAATTGTTTTGACTGCGGGCTGCAAGATTTTGAAATTTTCCGTGAACAATGGGCTTTCCAGGATATCTTTGAACAGGAGGCAGAAGAACTGTCAGAATCACTTCGAGAAAAGTCTCTGAACACATTTTTTCTTTTTTTGGATTTTTGAAAAAAATTTCTCAATAAAAGTTTTATTATGTTATTAGATGGATGTTTAAGTGAATGTATGAAACATGTTATGTTAAAAAAAAATACATTGTTTATAAGAATTAAAAGGCTATCGGCAACAAAATAAAATTATCTTATTTGATATAAAATACAACTGCACAATTTTTGAATTGAAACTTTGACTGATCATTTAAACGATTTGAACTAATAAATGTATTGAAATATTATTAATTTTTGAGCAAATCAATTAGCTAACTAACATCTAGCTTTTTTTGGTGTCTTTCAAATTTCTCTCCCCCAAACATTGGTTATAAATAAGAAGCATTTGAAAATATTGAGATTGGACTAATATTGTGATTAGAAGAATTAGAAAGACCAAGTTGGCATAGCTCTAGAAAACTTGAGATTGGAGCAGCATTGTGTTTTTTAACACCTTTGATTTGAATTCCGGTTAATTCTCGCAACGTTGCGGTTTAGTTTATAATCGCAATCTTGATTCTTTCGACCTTGTCTAAGAACTGGTCTTTATAATATCATTTTAGATGCATGTTGATTATACGTATATTACACTTTTAGATGCATGTTGTCCAACGCTGATCGCATCTAGGTTTAGGTAACAGAAACCATGTTTCTCCGGCTTCATAAACATATTGGCTGCTACAACACCATCTCCTGCCACGATAGCATTGTTTCCAAAGTTGATCTTACTAGTTCCTTTACCGGAAAAGCAGTAAGAGACAAGACCTAGGAAGTTTTCTCCCATTTGAGAGACGAGTGATAAAAGTCCCCAACTTAGACCAACAATGCCTGAACCGGTTAAGCTTAACCATGAACTGTTGTGAGCACATCCAATGGTGGTATTAGGCATGACAAAGGGTTGGCCTGAAGTGGATTGGATCGTGACCGTCTCGGTCGCTAGTGTTCCTTTGGAATAGCTTCCGTCTGCGTAGTTCATATCATAAGGACAAGTTTGGTCAGGGCCATATTCACATCTTTTCTCTTTGTAGGTTGAGGATTTTGAAGGGTCGAATAGTGGATCGGGTTGGTTGTAGCAGTTAAGACAAGGCAAACATTGTGTCCATATGAGTTCACTTCCTGTGTCTAAGACAGCTTCGATCTCCACAGGAGGAGTTCCCATTTGTATTTTCATTAGATCACTTTGTTATAGCGAAATCAAATGTTTTTTGTCTCCGAATTTATAGTTTTCAATTAGTATAATGATGACGATAGCTTTAATTAGTTTTATTATGCCGTTTCAAAGAAACAAAAACATACATAACATACACTCATGTTTTTTTTTTCATTTTTACAACCATAACATTACTCATGCTTATCTACGTACAAACACAGCATTCAAAAGAAAACATTTCTCACTCAAATCAAAAGGTGATCAAAGCCCAAAACGCACAGTTTCACCCTTGGGAGGAGCCGCAGCTGCAGTGGGCAGAATAACAGCTTCTCTCTGGCTCTCAATGAACCGCCTCATCGTCTCTTCGTCGACTCCAAAAGCCATGGCCAGTGACGTCAGATTGAGACTCCTAAGTAGCGAGTTCGAACCAACAAGAAACTGAGGCCGGTTCTTGTGAGCCGATGTGGTGAATCCGACAAACTCAAACGGTGCGATCCGAGACGCGATCTGGCAGAAGGCGAAGTAGCGAGGAATCCAGAACACATCGCCTACAGAGACTCTCGTGTTCATAGCAGAAGTTCCATTCGGAAAAACCACCTGAATCTCTCCGGAACCGGCCAAAACGATGCCGTATTCTGTCGCTGTTGGGTTCATATGAGGAGCCATCATTGATCCCTGAAATAATGTTTGATATTAGATCACTTAATCACGGTTAATTAATAATTGGTTATGGCTAAACCAAACCATTGACTGAGTAGTAGATAGCAAATCTATACTTTAATTTTGTTTTGTTTAAACCAAACCAATCTCTTGACCGGGTGGATATCACATCTATACTTTAGAATTGGTTTTAATCTAAGCCAAACCAAATAATTCTTAGCCGTTCTAGTTATGCAACAATATAAGACCGGAACCAACAAATTCTATAGAGCTTAGACAAACAACATTTTAACCAATCTTTTAATTCGCATAGACAGACAATTCGCTAGATGTTGCTAACATTATTAGATTATAAATCGAATTTAGTGGAGTATTATTCAAGAGATAATGAATTATACCGCGGTGAGATTTACGAGATAAACGCCAACACCAGAGTGTTTGAGAGGCTCGTAATCATCATAATCAAGAGCTTTACTCCATCCATAGTCGTTCTTGAAATCACTTTTCCGATCATAAATGTTGTACGAGTCCTCACACTTGGAAGATCCCGACCAGCGATTCTTTTCTTCGGATAGATCCAAGATCGATCTTACTATGTTCCTCCAAGACCACCATGGGATGTAGTCTTGGTCTTGAGAGGTTCCTTGTTTCATCTCCAATAGTTTCTTCAGATGCTTATGTTTCTCTTCCCCTCTTAACCCCAAGAACTCAGTCCACATTGTGGGAGCATGTTCCCTGATGTGCACAATGGGACCACGGAACTGACTCATCATCAATTTTTGCAGCTCTGGTCGAGAAACCTATGAATATAAGACCGATATGAGATTGAAAATGGTACATAACCAATATAAGAATTTTAAACACCAATTTCTACACATATCAAAACAATTGCAAAACAAAGTTCATATTTGTAACTAATAACCATTTATCAGTGCTCAAGAAATATTTTGCAAAATGTAATCGCAAATGCAAACTAACAATCGACCAAAACCTTAAAAATCAATTAGGTTGAAATGTACTAACGTTTAATGCTGAAGTTAAAGTGTCGGGATCAAAGCCGGCGAGTACAGACATCTGGCCTCCACCTATATAGAAAGGCTACACAGCAGCAACAAACAACAAGTAAGCCAAACGAAAAATTCTTTAAATATTGTGACTTTAAGTAGCCCTAATTATATTGTTAAGTACTTGGAAGGTTTCGAGTCCGAGGCTTTGAGTTGGATCAATGCTGGCAATAACATGAAGTTGTTGGCCTCGGCCTGTGTTGAGTAAATAAAATACAGAACCAGCCGGGATCCAGTAGATATCTCCTCCTTTCAATGTTTTTTCTCCGAAATCGTCTTTGCATATCACTCCAAGCGTTGCTTCACCTGCAAGCAAACACATGTTAGCAGTGAAAGAAAATATGAGAGAGAGAGAGAGAGAGAAAATGAGGGAGAGAGAGAGGGACCTTGACGAATAAAGATGAGGAGGCTGGAGTCAAGATATTGAGGGACAAAGAGGGTTTGAGGTTCCATTGTTAGAAACCCTATGTGCATTGGCTTCTCAATGATCCTTCCTTTTGGAGAAATCACAACTCTCATTTCTCCACCTTCTGATTTGAATACTCGTCTCGACTCTTTCATGATGAACCCTCCTCTTCCTCTTTCTCTTTCTTCTCCTCCTCCTCCTCCTTCTCCTCCTCCTCCTTCTCCTCCTCCTCCTCTTCCTCCTCCTCCTCCTCCTCCTCCTCCTCCTCCTCCTCCTCTTCCTCCTCCTCCTCTTCCTCCTCCTCCTCCTCCCCACTCTTCCTCCCCTTCATAATCATACCCATTTGATCTCATCATCACAACTCCAAGAAAAAACACCACCAGAAGCAAAAACGTAAGAATTCTCTTGTTTTTCTCCATTTTTTCTCTCTATCTCTCTCTCTGTGATGATTTAGAAAATACTTGTAAGAAAGGTGCATGCGAGTATGTGTTAAGTAGGAGAATGGAAAATGACACGTGTGGAGCATGCAAACATATGGAGCATTCGTGTCTATGCACGCAGTTTCTTTTATTAGAGTTTGATATACATCAACGTTTTCTTTCCACCACCTCTCATTTCATTATCTCGTTTTAGATTCCTCCTTAGTGGATAACTATTTAATTATTTGAGATTAGGGGAGATCAAATAAATCATAGGTAT